GAGATCTTCCAGCTGGTAGAATAATTGTGATGTGTAACTGTGGGTATCTGATATCAGCCTTCTATTGATCAGCCATTGATTTTTTTCTATAGTCAGCTGCCTATCTGGCTTATCCCTAAGAACATCATAGTCCAGGTAACCTGATTGCCATTCTAGAACCTGCCATTCTAGATTCAGTCCCTGTTATAGTAATCACTTCCACCATGTGTCTGACTGTTGAGTCTTACAATCTGGTCTCTACATTTTTGGAATTCTATCATACTCACTGACATAATGGAAGTGAGTTTCATCATGTATCATTTCCTTCTCTCTAGTCTGGCCATGGAGAAGATCTATCATTGAAATTCTTAACTTTTTTTTTGGTATTGGGGATTGAAATCAGGGGTAATCAACCAGTGAGTCACATCCCCAGCCCTATTTTGTATTTTATTTAAAGACAGGGTCTCACTGAGTTGCTTAGCACCTTGCAGTTACCGAGGCTGGCTTTGAACTCGGATTATCCTGTCTCAGCCTCCCAGATCGCTGGGATTATAGGCATGTGTCACCACACTTGGCTGAAATTCTTAAAGATATAACTGGCTACCCTTCCACATAAAGTTTATTCTTTATTGTGTTAGTAATAGCAGCATCCTCTGGGCCTTCCTGCAAACCTAGTCAAGATGAATTTTCTCTCCTACCATGAGCCTTCCAAATCCTTCCCCAATACTCTGCTGAGGCAATTCCAGCACATCTACCTTTATTACTATAGGCTATGATTGTGACTATGTTTCAAGGAGGCTTCCTGACTCCATAGTAGGACTGAGTCCAGGTAATCTTGCCAAGACACCAATCCTGAGTCATGGTTGAGAACTCCAGTGTCATAATAGCCAAACTGTGGAGTCAACACTCTTTGCTGTTTAGGGTTATATACTGCCTCCTCACCTTAACCTTCAAAATCCACTTGCACATATATCCTATTCATTCCCTCCAGAACTTATAAGCCAGTGATACATTCTCAGTGAATAAGGTATTTCCTTCTGGAGTGGTGATTGGATCTCCCGACTCAGCCAACAATGAGTTGGCTGAGTGAGTTTCTTATTGGCTTAGAAACTATAAGGAGAACTGATGATGAGACTGGAGGAAAAAATATCATCTTGTGAGGCATCTGCTTCATGTAAGGTCTTGAAAGATCTTGAGGTAAGAGACTTCTTTGTCGCAGAGGAAAGGTGTAGCTCATGCTGGATTACAGGTGCCACTGAGCCTGGCTTTATTTTTTATTTTGAGATAGGGGCTTATTGGGTTGCCAAGGCTGATCTAAAACTTGTGATCCTCCTTCCTCCGCTTCCCCATTGGCTAGGATTACAGATGTGCATCATCATGCCCCACAAGTCTAATATTTTAACAAACACTTCTATTATCTTAACAGACATCCCTATGTAAAGAAGATATACAGAGTCAAGTGTGTTGGCACACATCTGTACCTCCAGCTACTTGGGAGGCTGAAGCAGGAGGATTGCAAGTTTAAGGCCAGCCTGGTAGATAGCATAGTGGAAAAAAAATCCAGATGACAATAAGAAATGAAAAGATGTCCCCCTGCATACATCATTGGGGAAATGCAAATTGAAAAAAAACAGCGAGCTCCAACTACATACTTATCAAAATATCTGAAGCCCAAACACATCACCTAGTACTGGTGAAGACAAGAAGCAACAGGAACACTCATTCATTGCCAGTGGGAATGCAAAAATAGCTACTGTGGAAGATGGTTTGGCAATTTCTTATAAAACTAAATAGACCCTTATACAACCTAGCAATCATATGCTTGGTATTTATCCAAAGGTGTTGAAAACTATGTCCACACAAAAATCTGTAGATAGATGTTTATGACAGGTTTCTTCATAATAGCCAAACTGGGGAGGCAACCAAGCTGTCTTTCAGTAGGTGAGTGAGTAAATAAATAAATGGCATATCTATACCATGGAATTTTATTCAGCACTAAAAAGAAATGAGCTATCAAGACATGAAAAGACATGGAAGAACCTTAGTGGTATTCTTCAGGTGAAGATGTAAGGATTCAGGAAGGAGGGCTAGTGTAGAGTTATAGATGTGAAAATTATGTAGAGGTAATGTTGAAAACATGGGAATGAAGGATAACATCAAAGATGAGATGGAGAAAATAACATAACACCTGTTCTTAAGAGAACATGGAAGACTAAGAATTGATGCTCTGAGACATAGAGAGAGAATCAGGAGAGAAGGATGCCATGCAAAATGAAAGAAGAGGGTATTCTTAAGAGAGAGAGAGTGTTGAATACATCTTCAAATATCAGAGAAATTCAGAAAAATTAGCACTAGGAAACATGCATTGTATTTATAAGTAGGTCGTCATGGACCTCTGTGTCAGTAATTTCTAGCAAGGAAATAAGGAGGGAGGGTGGATTATGGTTGGTTAATAAATCAGGTGAGAGGAAGCAGAAACACTAACAGGCAACACTTCCAAATGATTTGCTGAGAAGCAAAGCAAAGATACAGTATTCAGGATTATCAGGAAAAAAAGACTTTTTTTTTTTTTTTTTTTAAAAAAAACATAGGTGTGCTTAATCACTGAGCCACATCCAAAGCCCTTTGTATTTTATTTAGAGACAGAGAGTCTTGCTGAGTTGCCTAGGGCCTCGCTAATTTACTGAGGTTGGCTTCAAACTCCTGATCCTCCTTCCTCAGTCTCCTGAGCCGCTGGGATTATAGGTGTGTGCCACCGTGCCGGCTGGAGAGATTATTTTTTTAGGTGGGTATTCAGGTTCCCAAACTCTAAATTACTACTTCAGTTGACTCATTCCTTTATGGAGGAGTTAGTTCCTTAGCCAGTGAATAGGAGTGTTCACTACTTTAGGAAATGCCGACCTTTTATTTATCCCACCACTTCCTCTTACAAAAGGAGACTAAGGTCATAACTTGGTTGTGTTCTTCTCTAACCCTAGTGTGTAAGCAAGAAGGCTGGGGTTGTCTAGAGCCTGGAAACAGGAGGGAAAAAAGTGATTAAAATACACACAAAGCGTGTTTACGTATTCACAGGAAACTTCCCACAACGCATGAAAATGGAAACAAAGAGATCAAATTCGAGAAAGGGATGCAAATGTTGAATTTCCCTTAATCTGAGGAGGCCAATTGTCTTTACAGTAAAAAGCCCTAGAAAAGAAAATTAGTCAAATGCACTACTGTTTTTGCTGGCTGCCAGCTTTTCAGCATCCGGACACGTCGTTGCACTGATTTTCTCCTTCATTGTGGCAGGCGGGAGCTTGAAATTCCCTGCTGGAGCAGAAGGGATCCGTGCAGATGCATATCATGGGCAATTGTGAAGTGACTCATAGGCTGAGGGTGGGGATCTGGGGAGTTGAACTGAGGACGAAATGGGAGGGATTTCCCTTCCTTAGGCTTGGAGAGGTGTTCTCACAATACACTCACTTTTTACATACTCTGTGTTTAATGAAACCTTACCACTTAGCTACGCATGCCTGGTGGAGAAAGATTGTGAGAGTGCTGGAGAAAGGGCTTGCAGTCTTCTGTCTTTTCTTACTTTTACTGTCTTCTTGGCAGCGCTCCTACTGCACCGCCCCCCCCCACCCTTTTTCTTTTTTTCTGAAACTTCCCTGTCTTCATGTTTGAGTTTAAGAAAAAAATTTTAGAGCTGAGATTGGAGATGATAATATTATTACTTAGAATGTGTGGAGTGATTCTTATTGGGGAATCAAAAGAACTATGTGGATCTTAACCTTTATAGCACTTGATAGGGGTATTTGGGGATATAATTAGGATTAAGACTGATATCCTATTACAGGAAGAATTGGGTAGGCAGCTTTCCACCTTCTTCCCTCTCTTCCTTCCCTATCTCCCCCTCCTTTCTTTCTTTTTTATCCTTTTTTTTTTTTCTTCAGGTCTTAGGCATAGCTGTTATCTTTTAAAGTTAGTACAGGCATTACAGGAAACAAAAAAACAAAAACAAAAACAAAGAACAAAGTCATCCAGTTGCGAGCAACTTTGTTGGACATCCTGCTTCCTCTTCTTAATGCTACTATTTCTGCTCGGATAAGCTTGCTTTTCTCACAGGGTTATTATGAGATTTCATAACACATAAGAAAGTATTTTAAACTTCATAGAGTCCAACGTATTGTTTTGCAATTATAGTGACCATTCCTCTGCTACTTTGGTGGGAAGATCAAAGATGATATTACTGAAGGCAATACAGCAACTAATTTCAATATTTCTTTCTTCCTACCTTGTATATGAAACTGAAGTAGAAATAGTTGTGAATTTGTCTGGTTTTTTTTTTTTTTGTTTGTTTGTTTGTTTTGTTTTGTTTTTTGGTACTGGGGATTGAACCCAGAGGTGCTTTACCACTGAGTCATATCCCTAGCACCCCCCCACTTTTAAAAAATATTATATTTTGAGACAGGGTCTTGCTAAGTTGCTTAGGGCCTCACTAAGTTGCTGAAGCTGGCCTTGAACTCATGATCCTCCTTCCTCATCCTTCAGAACCACTGGTGTTATAGGCATGTACTTTTCATATATTTTTTAAAATTCCACATTGAACAACAGTTCTTCAATTTTTGATACAATGTAGTTTTAGGGTATTTGATACTCACAAATATTAGATACAAAGTCAATCCTAGTTTGTACCCAATCTGGACTATGCAGGAATTGTTGGAGGAGACTTTTGAGCCAACCATATTAGGCTCAGATGTCAGGATTAGGTAGCAGTTTGGCACACACATTAGGTGAACCTCTCTGTCTGCCCCATTGTTTTTAGCACAAGGTCTACTTTGAGCTAAGATGTTTGCTTCTTGCTTCAAGGACATTACCTTTCATTTGTGCACTAATACGATTTGCATTATCTAAATTTTCAAATGAAACAAAACAAAACAAAACAAAACAAAACAAAAACCTCGAAATAGAACCCTCTTTGATTCCTCTCGATAATTCTTAGTCTTCCAAAGGTTGACAGACTGGGTTTTTTTCCCCTCCAGATTTCCTTCTTTCTTCCATTTCACAAGAGCTGAATAACATCAACAGTCTCACATGGTGCTTGCCATTTGCTGAGGAGTCTGTAGGACCAACAGACTTCTGGGCCTAAACACTACAAGCAGCTGCCTTGCTTCTTCTGTGGGGACAATTGAGAAAAGGATATTGTACACCATCTCTAGGTAAGGCTCTGCAGATTTGATTATCTAATAACAAGATTACCCACCCCTTCTCAACTACATCCTATATAAGCAACTGCCCCTGCAGGTGCCCTCTGGATGTAACAGAAATAACCAAGAACTTGCCAACTCTAGCTGTCATTTTGGATTGCTCCCTAACGGGTGATTCTGGGTTGGTGATCACATTGGCTACTGAATTTTCTCAGGGAAATCAGTGTTTCCTTCCTAAGAGTTGCTTCTTGCTTGACATAAGAGATGACAAGAGAAGAGACTCTCTCTCACCTCCCCCAATTTGGGCAGGGCCATGGAACTTCTCATGAAATTTCCCATAAAATGCTGTCATCCACCCTCCACCTACAAATTAGCTCAAGGTTTTATTAGCTAATCACTTTAGCTCAGTGTTGTATAGATTACAATGGCACATTGAAAATGTCTAAAGACATTTAAAGTTGCAAATGCAAGGCAATTTTACTAAACTGGAACCTAAGCTTGACACTCTTGGCTATAAAGCAGAATTCTGTTCAAGGGGTTTTAGTTTCATTGCTGAAGTGATGTTGCATGAAGATTATCAACCTTTAAATAATACTCCATTCACGATTTAAATTTAGTTCGAGACCAGTGGGTGTTCAAAATGAAGCACAGAGCTGAAGTCTTTATTTCTAGGAGAGTGGCTGCAGATGCTAATTTAGATTTACGAGAAAGACAATGGTCCATGGCAAACTAAGCAGAGCAGCTGGGAGGTCATTGGTATTCTGGGAGGACCCTTTTTAATTAAGCTGCCCACCTCTCTCCCCTACTCTTAGGACCCAGGAAATGTTGTTTATGACAGATAACTTACCATTTGTTATTGTTTATATTTTCCTCCTTCAACTTACTGGATTTTTTTTTTCCTGCTTGCAAATTCACTGGTTGGGTCTTCTCCCAAGGGAAAGATACACTAGAATTAAAAATTAATTTCTGCTTTCGAGCCTAGATGTATAGAAATTTTCTCCTTTGCTGCATACATGATAAAAGAAGCTTTTTAATAATTTTCCTTGTGTGTGCTGTTTTCTCATTGAGATACTTGGAGAATCGTGGGCGAATGCAGATTTGATTTCAAAACATCAGGGAAGCCCTATTTATAGTAGAAGTTCAAACTCTCACAGACTCACTCACTTCAGGGTGCCATTCTTTATTTCTTATTCATTCTTTCTTTCCCCACTGTCCTTCCCTATTTCATTAGCACTGGAGTTTCCTTTAAATTTGTCCAAAGTCATATTTTCTAGCAGATTTGGTTTAGGATGTACCTATACTTATGATGGGCAAAGGGTGTTATCTGATCAAAATAGTGATTCTCAAGAAACCGAAGAAAGGTTATTAAACTGTTCACAATTCTGGTTTTTAGGGAGAAGGCCAGTGCTTCAAAACTCATGTTGAAATTTAATTGCCATTGTAACAGTATCAAGAAAGGGACCTTTATGAAGTGATTAGGTCACGAGTGCCCCACCCTCATGAATAGATTGACAGATTGTTGTAAGAGTGGAGTCTTGACAAAGGGGCCAATTGGGCCCTTTCTCCTTCTCTTTCTTTTTTTGTTGTCTCTTGTCCTTCTACTTTCCAACATGGCATGACACAACAAGAAGGCCCTTGTCAGGTGCTGACCCCTCAATCTTAGACTTCCCAGCTTCCAGAACCACGAGTTGGTACATTTTTGTTCATTATAAGTGACCTAGGGTCAGTTGTTGTGTTACAGCAGCAAAAATTGGACTAAAACAACCTGCCTGGTGGAGAAGGCATGGCCAGAGAAAGAATATGCTGCCGGCTTTCCCCAGAAACCTCTGTGTTGGAGGGGAGGCAACACACTGGTTACTTTCTAGGTTATCTGTTATCAGGACTACTTGTACTATGGTCAGGTGCTTCCTTACTTTTTATACTCTTTCATATTTTTCTTTCTCCCTCTTTTGCTCAAGCATGCTTTTTTTGTTGATCAAGCTGCCTTGTAAAGAATCTGGCCTAAGAACAGAGATGCACTAGTAAATGTTTAACAACTGGTCAAATGTATAAAATGTCCTGATTTAGGCTGGACACAGTGGCACATGCTTGTAATCCCACCGGCATGGGATGCTGAGACAGGAGGATCGTAAATTCAAAGCCAGCCTCAGCAGCATCGAGGTGCTAAGCAACTCAGTGAGACCCTGTCTCTAAATAAAATATGAAATAGGGCTGGGGATATGGCTCCGTGGTTGAGTGCCCCTGAGTTCGATTCCTGGTACCCCTTTCTCCACAAAAAAAAGTCCCAATTCAGAGTATTTGCTGATTTCTACCACGGCTGATTTCAAGCTACCAGTGTGAGGCTCCTGAATGTGGAGTTAGGAAGAGATGTGGATTGTCAGTTTTTGAAAGCTAGTACTAGCTAGTCTGAGCTAGTCCTAGGAAACCACTGAATGAATATATGTTAAGTGCTTAATACATGGCCAGGAACATAGTGAATTCTACACTAAGTTGTGCTTTTATCATTTATTAGTACTATCAATGATTGTGATCTTTATTGTGCTGTTTCTCTTCCTCTTCCTTTATCTATGTTTGTATGTATGTATACATCCAGTGATTTGCTGGAAAACTTCAAGGAAAAATGTACCTTGCTTGTAGCACTTGTCACTTTCCATAAAAAGATGCCTATACTGGATGATTCCAAGCTACCAGTGGTTTAACACTTGGTTTGCACAATTCATGAATATTAAACAATCTTCTTCCAGCCCACAACTATTAAAAGAATTAGTTTCCAGGGATATCTGTATTGTTTGCAGGATTTTGTTCATAAGCATTCAAAATGCAAATTGTGAATTTTAGATTCTTTGTTAAGTGTATGTTTTATTTAGATTCTGTATAAGTATACATTTCATAGGTAATAATCTATGAGTGTTTTCTTTATCTTTCCCTCAACTCTTTATTTTTTCTCTTCTTGAGTAATTATACCTTTCGATTTACAAAAATGTTTTAGAATAAAATCTTATATTACACTACTCATCTGAAATTTCCTACAAAGTCTTATAAATTTAGGCTTGTACTTAGAACTTATAAATTTAGCATTTGGATTGTTATTCTGGCTTTTTCTTCTTCTTTTGGTACTAAGGATCTATCTAATCCAGGGCCTTGCGCATGCAAAGCACATGTTCTACAACTGAGCTGTACTCCCAACCATGTTATTCTGGCTCTTAGTATTTATTAAACTATGTAACTTTGGAAAAAATCCCAAAGTGAGAATTATAAGAAATACCTCAAACCAAGGGTAAGAAACAATTCAAAGGATAGTTGTTAAATATGTGAAAGGATGCTACAAACTGTGCATATTTAAGTTGAAGGTATGTTCTTATTGTCTCAAGAACCAATATTTTGGCTAACTCCGTATTTTCCTGTGCATGGTGGCCATGGACTGCTGGAAGATTGACAGTTTAAGTGTCAGGAATTTAAATGAAGGAAGAAATCTTAGGATAGTCCAGAAAGCAGTTGAGATTAGAGAATTAGAGAAAATAGAGAGGTCTGGATAGACAGAAAAGCATGAAGAGGGTCTCCTAGGTGAAGAAAGTGACAGAAGTGGAAATAAATTCAGTTGTCTTAACCAATAAGACAATATTCCTATAATACCTGACTGGAGAAGGTGTCTGGGGAAAACGCAATGTCAACCTTGTCAGGTAAATTGAGGTGAGTTGATGGAATGCTCCATTTGTAATTACCATACATATAATAACAAGTCACCATGGAGTTGTTATTAGGTGAGTGGCAGAATTAAAATGGTGTTTTTCAATGATCAATTTAATCGAGGTGTGCAAACTAAAGATATGAAGATAGAGAGATAAAAGAATATAAAAATAATTTAGAAATGAAGAAAGCCTGACTTGAACTGTCTCTGATTTTACATGAAAAAGAATCAAAAGTTTAGAGCAAGGGTCAGCGGATTTTTCTATAAAGGACGAGATAGTAAATATTTAGAACTTTGTGGATTATGCAGTCTCTTTTGCAACTGTTCAATTCTGTCCATCTAGATGAAAGTAGCCATAGATGACAGAAAAATAAAAGAGCATGGTTGTGTTTCAATAAGAGTGGCAGTGTTGCATCGACTGCTGTCTGTGTGTTATGTGACTCCTGATGAGACTGGATAAAATGAGAAAGTTCATTTTTGGGGGGAGAGAACTCTAAGTATTGGTTATCCAGTTTTGAGGTGATAAAGGAGAAATTCATGTGGAAATATCCCGAAGGTCTTTGGAAATCTAGGATTGGATTTTGAGATTGGATTGGAAGGGAGATTCTGCCTAGATTCAGATTTGAGAGTTACCAACGTTTAAATGAAAAAGTTAGCGGCACATCTAGGGTCAAACTAGGAACATAGAACCCAGCAGTCTATCTACTGCAAGTAATGGGTTAAACAGGTGGCAATGCAGCTAAGGATACAAATAGGGGACCATGTAGAGAGTAGAAACAGGACAAACTCTGTGTTGGAGAGAGTAGTTGCTTCTGGGGCTCAGAGACTGGGTGAGGTAGATAATAAAAACAATCTTCTAAAGAACCATGTCTTGCCAGGTAAGGTGGTGCTATAAACCCAGCAGTTTGTGAGCCTGACACAGAAGGATCACAAGTTCAAAGCCAGCCACAGCAATTTAGCAAAGGCCCTAAGCAACTTAGTGAGACCCTGTCTTTTAAAAAACAAACAAACAAACAAACAAAAAAACCAAAACAACGCTGGGGGCAGGTGCTTGGGATGTTGTTCTATGGTTAAGCACTCCTGGATTCAATCCACAGTACTGACCATAAATAAATAAATAAATAAGTAGGTAAGTTAAAAAAATAATAATAATATTGAACCACATCTCCTTTCCCCATGCAGTTTACAACAACATATTGCTGTTCTTATCAAGAAGCAAAGTCTACTTTTCCTCTAATAAGATCTGGCCTTGTGATTTGCTCTGAGCAATGGAAGGTGTAGATGTGACATTCTATAAATGCTAGAAACTCTAGATAAGAGGTCC